TCGGCCTCCGAGTCGGTTGCGCTCGAGGCAACCCGGCGCCGCGGCTCGACATTGCTCGGTGCGCTCCCGAGCCGGCTGCGCCGGATTGCCGAGGACGAGCGTCCGACAGTCTTCCACGTCCCGCTGGCCGAGGCCGGGCCGGCCGGGGAGGCGTCCGACGCAGCGTCTGGCGTGACCGGCGCGCACTCATGACTTGCCGCCCGCCTGTGGAGGGTGGCTGTACAGCACGTCGACATACGGCGACGGGTCGTACGCCAGCTCGATGCCGCCTTTGATGGCGGCCATGCGCGCCGCTCCCACTGCAGAAGTCTCGGAGAGCGTGACAAGCGTAAATGCGTCCAGACTACGCGTCGGCGAGCCGCCGGTTAGCGTCGTCACAAACGCGTCGCAGAGCAGATCCCATGACTGGAAGACCGAGCCAGTGGCGACAATGACCAACCCACCGGGGACTTTGGTCATGGATACCGGCAGACGCGGCGCAAGCGCGCACACGTGCCGTGCAAGCAGTCGGCCGGTTCGCGCAAAGAGCGCAGCGCAGAGCTCGTCGCCATCGCGGGCTGCGACCGAGAGCTTGGCCGTCAGGCTTGCAATGCGCGCCTTCTCGAAACTCGAGTACATGATGGGCAAGAGGCCCTCAAGGACCGGGGTGGCGTCGTCAGGCGCGGCAAGACCAAAGTGCTCGATCACCACCGCCGTCGCCCGCGTCGGGTCCATGGCCGCCAGCGGGTCGTCCTCGACCATGAACCCGTCCATGGCCCGCAATAGCGTCTTGAGCGTAGTCGACGCGAGATCGTACGCTGAGCCATCGTCGCCAAGTAGGTGGCCCCACCCGCCGACGCCACAGCGCGAGCCGTCCGGCAGCACCGCCCGGCAGTTGGAGCCGGTGCCCGAGATGAGACACACCCCGGTGGCCTCGGGCGTTGCGGCCGCAATCGGGCCCATCGTGTCGTTGACGCACAGTAGTGTGCCAACCAGCCCGCACCCGCCCTCTGGATGGGCAAGAACAGCCTCTGTCAGCTTCTCGGCCATCTCACCCTTTTCGCCTCCCGACAGCGCAAGACCCAGCGCGGGAATCGGAAGCTGGGCGCCATCGAGCTCGTCCACCGCCTTGCGCACCATGGTCACGATCTCATCGGCCACAGCCTCTGGTGATAGCAGCTGCATCCCGTGTGCGTGAGTGCCATACCACAACAGCAGAGAGAGCGGTGTGTGCGATGAGTGGAATGTGTGCGATGAGTGGAATGTGTGCGAGGAGTGGAATGTGTGCCATGAGTGGAAGGTGTGCGATGTGTGCGATGTGTGCGATGTGTGCGATGAGTGTGGAATGTGTGCCATGAGTGGAAGGTGTGCGATGTGTGCGATGTGTGCGATGTGTGCGATGAGTGTGGATTGTGTGCGATGAGTGGAATGTGTGCGATGAGTGCGGTGTGTGCGATGTGCGTGATGTGTGCGATGTGTGCGATGTGTGCGATGCGTGGAATGTGTGCGATGAGTGCCACGAGTGCGTGTGACAGCCGGAGAGGGAACTGGGGGAGAGGGACGTACATAGGGGTTGGTGCAGCCACCAACAGAGCGGGCGAGTACAGCGCCTGTGGTGTCCATGATCACACATCGGGAGTGGGTGGCACCACTGTGTGGGAGGTGGGGGGAGGGGTGAGTGAGGGAGGGCGAGTGAGTGAGGGGTGTGTGGGGGGGGGG